GACTAAAAAAGGTTAAGGTGTTCAATCGGGTCCTCCTTTCCAGTATAGAGTTGTCAGCCAAGCTTCTGCTTTGTCTTTGCTTTGAGGAGGGTGTCGAGGATCCTCCTTGTAAGAGGGCCAGGCCTAGGTTGGTTCCAATCAGGTATCTCAGCTTGTTGTTCGGCATTCAACTTGTTTACTTCCTTAAGAAGCTGTAGGACAAGAGGGTCTTGAGTGGAGTTATGTACCATTGGAGCTTTCTTTCGTAAATCTCCATCTTCTCTTGGAAGTATGAAGGTTTGATCAAGAGCATGTGATTTTTCCCTGGACTCGCCGTACTGACTTCCAAGGTATGTCTGTCGGAACATCTCTGAGTCCCCTATACCTTCGTGTTTCTCTAGGCCTTGTTGCCCATTTCTCAAATTGGTAGCCGGCCTGGGACATAGGAGGGGACCTAGTCTTTCAGAGACCCTTGGGTCATTGATCTTCGAGCTTACATGGATGGGATTGTCTCGACAGTCGCGAAAGACAGCTTTTGATCCTTCCACTCCTTCTGTAAGAATGTGTTTTCCTCCACTTCTCCTGCATTGGGTTGAATCAGCTGGGTTGAGAGAAGTCTTATGTTGATTAATGTTTGATGATTAGCTCGCTCCTCATCAGGGATACCCATGTCGAAGGAATGTGACCCTCCGTGTTGGGGGGCACCTGGATAATGGTTGATGTCCACAAGAGTAACAAGCTCGCGTGTTTGAGTACGCCTAGTTTCGTGGAGCGTCTCAAAGAGCTTCTCATACTGTTCCTGGAAGACCTCATTCTTCATTGCTATCTTGTTGTTCTAAGCTTCTAGCTCATCGACTTTAGCTTGAAGAGTAACCATTTTTCCTTCCTTCTTTCGTTGCCTCGCACCAAGTGAAAGAGAGGTGTCATTCTGCGTGCTATGGCTTCTTTCGCTCCCCATGTTGGAGAGGAATGCCTGGTCAAAAGAGAGTGTACGAATGGTGGAAACCAGCTTAACAAAGCTGAAGAGAGTGGGAATAAGTGTCGTTCCCACATATGGCGCCAAATGTTGATGCACAAAATCAGTGAGGACTCTGGTACAATAGAAAGTGTTAAGTTTGTGACCTTCGCAAGATTGCTCCGGTCACTAGTGTGGATAAGTATATAAATGGATAGAGACAGGGAAGTAAACACAAGATGTACGTGTTCATCCAGATTGGCTATGTCCACGGAGTAGAGGAGTTTTATTAATTATGAAGGGTTTACACAAGTACAGAGGTTCAAGCTCTCCTTTAGTGAGTACTAGTGAATGATTTAGTACAAATGACATTCGGAAATATTGTGAGAGAATGATCTCTATTTATAGAAGAGAGTTTCTAGTTTCATTCTGACATTGACACTTGTCGTGCTGTGATTAGCCTCTGATGTCGACACGTGTCGCGTTATGATTGGTCTCTGATGTTGACATGTGTCACGTTGTGATTGGCCTCCTAGTTGGAGGGAAACTCTTGTGGGTCCTTGGCGGTATAATGTTGATCGGTGCTTAGTAGTTTTGGGGTTAGTCAAGTATGGTACAAACAGTACGAATGGTTTTCTTATTTAACTTGCCAAATGCATTTATAATTAAATTATTATGTAGTATTTTGCTATGGTGGTATTCTTATTTTTTTTTTGAGTACATTGTATTTTTACATGGCTAAACCACACAATGAACAGCCTAATTTGGTATCGAATTCGCCATGCATGAGATCTGTCATCTCCCAGTACAACCCTTCCGCCCTCCCTTACTCCGAAAACACCATGTGGCTCATCCACACCCACCTCATCTCTCTCACCTCTGCCCACCTATCCCTCGAACCTAAAACAACGATGGGTGTGTGGGGGCGGTGGGGTAGTAGGAGGACGAGTCGGTGGTGGAGAAGCTGAACTGGGACTTCGGTTGCCGGGGTGATTACGGACTGTTGTGGCCATTACTTTTAAAAATGCTAGATTTTAGGGGGTGAATTTCACTGAATCGAGATCCATGTTTCCTAGAAATTGAAAAGTTTTCAGATTTGGAGCTTGGATTGTAGTGTTCTTTAGTAATCAATGGGTTGATTACAAATCTGGGAATACATAGTAGATGCAATCGCTACTTTTTTGGATTTTGCGGAGGAAAAAGGTTTAATTCAAAAGCGAATCATTTTGACTTTTTTCTATTTTGCCATTCTGGAGCTTTTAATCTAGTTTTTGTAAAGTGGTATGAGAAACTAAGAGGTGGGGGTTTACTGGATTGGAAGGTTCATCAATGGAGTTTACTGGTGGGAAAGGTATGAAGAGAGGAGACGACAGCCTGGTTTTCTATTTTTCTTCTTTTTTTTTCCTTTTTTTATTTATAATTTTGTTGGTTGCGCCGGGGTGAGTCGGCGGAGGAGGATGGTGGCGATGGTGGGGTTAGTACTCGATGACATGCGTTGTCACGGTGGGGGTGTTTGGCTGCATGGGGTCCTCGGAGATGGAGCGTGGAGGTGCTGCGTGGGGTTGTGGCGCTTGAGGATGTCGTTCCGTGCTAGGCCGGAAGGGCAGCAGATGTCATAGGGCTTGTCGCCCTGGTGGCCGACGAGGAATAATTGGCTAGGGAAAAGCCGTTGAAGAGAAGATGAGGGTTGTGGAATCGAAGATGGAGGAGGAAAGGTTTGGTGGGTTGGTGGAGAAAAGAGAATGGAGGGATAAGGGAGGAAGGGCCGGAGGTAGAAGACGACCAAATTTATTTTTTTTTCGATTCTTTTTTTGAATTTTTAATTTCCTTGTGGACCCTTTATTGACACGTGGCGCCCAATCATTGTTCACGTGGGTACCACGTCATTAGTTAACGGAAGACTTAACAGTTTGACTAACGGATGTATGAGACTGTTCCAAAATTAACACTTTAGGTATGATTTTGGGACGAAGAAAACTTGATGTACCAAATGTTGAAAACCACGAAACTTGAGGGTAATAAACTGAAATTTACCCTTTTATTCATTAGTATTTGACTCTTCTCCAATTCTCTCTTTCGACCCTTTTAATATTTTTTTTTCGATTTTGAAAATTACCCAGATGAAATTTGTAATTAATAAGTTGGATTTTATATTTAATTTAATCTGTCAATTTTGTAAAATATGCAGGGGAGTTTAAAGTCGAGAGCGGTACACACATATTAGGCGTATGTATCTCAATCAGATTGTAGATTTTGTATGTAAATAGTATGTATATCTCAGTCAAATTGTAGATTTTGTGTGATTTTTAATAGGACTATCAAATCTTTTTTATGTAAATAGTATGTAATACACATAAAGTATTATCCTTTGTATATAAATAGTACTAGATACAAAATTTTTGTATGATTTTCAATCCCGCAACATCGCGCGGGGCATTCCTTACTACTATGAACTACTCGAGTGCCTGCATACAGCGTTGCAATTGGTGGCCACAAATCTGTTGGCATAGCTTTGGTGATGGATGAGTAGTACTACTCCGTAGGCAATGCTGCAGGCACTACAGGTATTGCGCGTGTTGCCGCAAACACATATTTTGACATCGTAGCTGTTGCCTTGGGTCGACTTGCCTCTCGCAGCGGTGATGACATTGGGCCAGCTCGGACATCATGTAGGACGCCGCAGAGAGGAAAAGAGTGGAGTGATGCAACATCAACAACAAAGGAAGCCTAGCCTTGATCATGAACATCATGTTAATTGTTCGATCTTAATTAACTTAAATGGTAATTAAAGATAGCTGCAGATAGCACTCGATCAGGTATTTATGGAAGCTTGCTAGCCAGCTCAAGCTTTGAGCATGCATGCATGTACATTTGTCTATGGACATTACATGCAAGGAGACCAGTGTCATACATGACAAAATCAAATTGATGACGTGTTTTCTGAATTGGATAAATTGAGATTGGAGACATTAATTTTGTCTCACTTGATCTCATCACGATTCACATGCATGGTAGGAGAACAAGGACGGACCTATACGTACGGTTACGTGGTGAATGACTACAATTTACTCTTTTCAAGTTTGATATAATAATGGAACACGAATTTTTAAGTTTCTCACATTGCATGTTTCAAAAATGGTATCAATTTATATGTTTTTATCTCTTTAAACATATCATATTTCATTGAATTGATCATTTTTTTGGCAATCTGATGAATTGTGGCTTACACGCTAGCCTATGTAATGGTCATATGCTCCATTGTCATCAATTTAATGAGAGATTAAACAATCAATCCGACTAAAGATAGAAATTAGCCCTAAAATTAATGTTTAACGGACGCATGCATTTTAAAAATTGAAACTCCATCGTCCATTTGAAAAATCACCACGAATTTGAGGATTATGAAATATAATTAGCCCTAAAGTTAATGTGGAACGGATGCATGCATTATGTATATGATAGTATGACACTAACATTAACGTATATGGCCGATATCACTAGGACGGGTAAAGATTGTTCATATGGTTAGCTATGGTATATACCGTATCATAATGCTGAGTATTTGACTTAACATTAGCTAACATGGGGGAAGCGACCCTGAATGGAATACTTTTATCTCCAAGTTTCAGGTTCGACATGAGGATTTCTTTCTCTAAATTTTAGATGGTTTGTAGATGATGAATTTGATAAGATACCAAATTATTAAGGTAAGTTATATTTGATAACTAAAACCAGTAACACTAAATATTGGAAAATGTAAGATGCATGAATCATGGTAGTAGTATGTGTTTCGTCTTTTAGGGCCTGTAATTGATAGAGTTATAGATTGATATTGGAACTGACAGTATCCAGGCTCAAAAGAGCAGTTATGCATGAATAAACACAAACGGAATTATAAAAGTACTCATTTTTATTTATTTATACGGCAGAAAGCTAGAGCTCTTTATTTCACATACAAAGTCAACGCTCACTCTACATGAGCTACTACTAGTAGTAGTAGTACTTTTTAAACTCTAGCAAAGCCTAACTACTGCATGCTTCTATACATGCAATTTTAGATGACTGACTAGTTGACCACCATTTTTATGCCCTGCCCTTGTTCAAGCTGCTGCCTACACATCTGTTGGCATTGGTGTTGCGGTTGCCCCTGCATCTGGCACTCTTCTTGGCACTGATCTAGCTGCCTCAGCTGCTCTTTGCACTGCTCCTGGCACTGCCGTCCCTGGCCCTGGCAACGCTGCTGGCACTGCTGCCTATATTGCTGCTGCTTCCCTTGATTACTATTAAATCCCTGCCCTCGTTCAAGCTGCTCCCTACACATCTGTTGGCATTCGTGTTGCGGTTGCCCCTGCATCCGGCACTGTTCTTGGCACTGATCTAGCTGCCTCAGCTGCTCTTTGCACTGCTCCTGGCACTGCCGTCCCTGGCCCTGGCAACGTTGCTGGCACTGCTGCCTATATTGCTGCTGCTTCCCTTGATTACTATTAAATCCCTGCCCTTGTTCAAGCTGCTCCCTACACATCTGTTGGCATTCGTGTTGCGGTTGCCCCTGCATCCGGCACTGTTCTTGGCACTGATCTAGCTGCCTCAGCTGCTCTTTGCACTGCTCCTGGCACTGCCGTCCCTGGCCCTGGCAACGTTGCTGGCACTGCTGCCTATATTGCTGCTGCTTCTCCTGATTACTATTAAATCCCTGCCCTTGTTCAAGCTGCTCCCTACACATCTGTTGGCATTGGTGTTGCGGTTGCCCCTGCATCCGGCACTGTTCTTGGCACTGATCTAGCTGCCTCAGCTGCTCTTTGCACTGCTCCTGGCACTGCCGTCCCTGGCCCTGGCAACGCTGCTGGCACTGCTGCCTATATTGCTGCTGCTTCTCCTGATTACTATTAAATCCCTGCCCTTGTTCAAGCTGTTGCCTACACATCTGTTGGCATTGGTGTTGCGGTTGCCCCTGCATCCGGCACTGTTCTTGGCACTGATCTAGCTGCCTCAGCTGGTCTTCGCACTGCTCCTGGCACTGGCGTCCCTGGCCCTGGCAACGCTGCTGGCACTGTTGCCTATATTGTTGCTGCTTCCCATAATTACTATTAAATCCCTGCCCTTGTTCAAGCTGCTGCCTACACATCTGTTGGCATTCGTGTTGCGGTTGCCCCTGCATCTGGCACTGTTCTTGGCACTGATCTAGCTGCCTCAGCTGCTCTTTGCACTGCTCCTGGCACTGCCATCCTTGGCCCTGGCAACGCTGCTGGCATTGCTGCCTGTATTGCTGCAGCTTCCCCTGGTTACGAGAAGCAAGAGTGGAAGACAAAGAGGTGGCGAGGACAAGAGTGGATAGGAACAAAAACAACAAAGGAAGCTTAGGTTTGGCGATGAACAACATGGCTGCTTTCTCAGTTACTATGTATTGAACTATATCAAAAGGGAGTTTTTATTTTTTTTTGCTGTGGGAAGAACGGCAAAGGGTTTTGAGGTATTTATAGAAGTTGGGGCTAAACATGCATGCGTACACTTGGCTGTGCACATTACATGCAAGGTGACTAGTGTTAAAGGTGACAAAATCGACGTGCCTTGTATACATATTTGGGACCGGGACACCGCGTCCAAACTTGGGAAGATCATTTCTTACGTGGTCGAATCTTGAAAATATGGACGAATTGGTTGCAGAGGTTAGCTTGAAGGGGATAGTAATGTCCACACAGATAATACTTAATTATCATCGGAATGCGTACACTTGGCCATGCACATTACATGCAAGGTGACTGGTGTTAAAGGTGACAAATCGACGAGTCTTGTAAACATATTTGGGACCGGGACACCGCGTCGAAACTTTTGAAGACCATTTCGTACGTGTGGTCGAATCTGGAAATTATGGACGAATTAGTTGCAGAGGTTAGTTTGAAGGAGAGAGTAATTTCCACACGGACACTATTTATCATCGGAATGCACATATCTTATCCTTGCGAATAATATATCTTTTCTCTGTAAATTTTATAAATGGAACTGTTTAATTTTTTAATCTTTATTTAAGGATAATTTAAACATTAAATCTTCAATATGAATGATTTAATACATTACGAAAATGGACGCTTTGTCATAAATAGGTTATATGAATACTTATATCGTCACTTTTTTCATACATTTGGATGACGAAACATCTCCGATATGAATGAATTTTTTAGGAATGGTGTTTAAATTAAGAAAGATATTGAATGATTCCAGTTATGAAATTTGGAAAGAATAGTAATGATATGGAGTAATACTACACTTACCACATATTGTATATCACATTTGTACCAACTCTAGTAAAGGTAGAGTCCACCAATATATATGGGTCTCATCTCTATTAAATAAATACTACAAATGTAGTAAGAGTAGATTTTTTTTTTAACACGGTATAGAGATCGGTGTTCCGAATATACTAAAAAATTACTCCTTGTTAACCACCCCTCCAGTACAGGTATACCCTACCTAGCTATGCCTATAAGACTAGTTTGTATTTAGCAAACATAGTCCAAATAACAACATTCATATATAGGGGTGTGTATATTAGCAAGACACCAATAATAAGAAACAAAAGCCGCCAACTAATATAAATAAGAAGAAAGAAAGGCTACAACTCATAGACAAACACCACACACACGATGTATGTATACACTTTCTCATCGATCGAGATTGTATTAAATTCAAGATCTCCTTATTTAGTTCTATGTGTCATAGTTTTTATCCACAAATCTCAAATTCCCAATTTCGTAATGTATTTTAGAATATTGGAATGTCAAAGAGGTTAAGTTTTATCTTATCTTTTGATTCCATCCAATTTCATGCAAATTGTATGTTAGTTTTGTCTTTAAGAAATGTACCTAGGAAAGGTTAAAGGTCTCGAAGAGGCGGGGCATAGATAACTTGAGAATTACTCAATTAAGGGCAACGGAGTTTGTTCGATGTCACTAATCGTGAATTCACGCTTACGACCAATCCAAATGCTTGGTTTTAGGGAAAAAAAAAATATTCAGTTTGATATTGTGAAGCAGATACAATTTTTAATTAATCAAGTCTCTCGTAAATGTACATATGGATTACTTTAAGTAGAGAAATTAACATTGGTAAGATAGATACTTAATACTAATATTATGTTGAAAGTTGTCCCACATCTATGAAGGACAAGGTTTGTTATGTGCTTATATGATCTTGGGCTACTCCTCATATTGCCAATTGATTTTATGGTGGAACCTCAATTTCATCATGGTATCAGAGCGGGTTGTCCTCGTGTGAAGCCAAACGGCCACACGCGCTCTACGTCACCCAGTTGTTGTCCACCTGTAGGCTTGAAAATCCGCCACACGTGCAGGGGCGTGTTGAGAGTTGTCCAACATCTGTGAGGGACAAGGTTTGCTATGTGCTTATATGATCTTAGGCTACTCCTCATATTGCCAATTGGTTTTACGGTGGAACCTCAATTTTATCATATTATAGTTACTAAAGCACCTAATATAAACATGCTTTAATTAAAAGATGAGAAACCACCAAAAGTGTTTAATTAGACTTGGCATTCGTGTCGTGTTTTCCGTGTTCATGTCATTTTCGTGTCATACCCGATATCATAATGGGTCGTGTCGTGTAACACCCATTAAAATAAACGGGTAAAATGACCTGACCCGAAATCGACTCGATAATATTAACAGGTAATATGACCCGACCCGTTACCCATTAAGGAAAATATATTTTAAACCAATAAATAATCAAATGAAAAACATAATACTAAATAAGTATATGCATACCATATTGTCACATCCAAAACCAAGGTTCTAAAAAACGCTAGGCGCTAGTCGGGCGGCGGGCTGGCACTTAAAGCCTAGGCGGCTAGGCTGAGTCTAGGAGAACACTGTCCAAAACATAAAAACGCATTTTTTTTAAGTATATTTTCACTTACCTAAAATCTTTAATAGTTTTTTAATTAATGTAGAAGTGTAAAAAATATAGAAAAAATATATAAACGCTCGTAATGACAAACTTTACAACTTTTATGAAGAGCTTAACTTCGAAATTTGCCACTATAATCATATAAATCATAGATCAAAAGTTAATCGTTGATTGTTGTTTACATTTACGTTTCATTGTTCTCATCAAATTTTGTTTTTTCAAATTTTGTTTTTTGAAAACTTGATCTATTAGAGGATGCAGGAAGATGAACTGTTTGGATCATTGATATTATATTCAGAGTTTTACGGTTAGTGAAAATATTGTTTGATGTTTATAAGGTTTCTACAAACTATATGACATCGACTCATATTTCAGTTAACTGTAAATATCGAACCGTGATATCAAAGATCTGAACCGTTCATCTTCTTACACCCACCATCATGTTTTCAAAAAAGAAAATTTTAAAAATGAAATTCAGTAAGAAAAATAAAGCGTAAATAGCAATCGACGGTTAAATATAAATTTAAGGTTTATGAATTATAGTGTTGGATTTCGAAGCTGACCCCTTCATGAAAGTTGTAAAGTTTGTCACTATGAGTGATTGTACTTTTTTTTTTTTACATTTTTTACACTTCTACAATAATTATTATTAATTTTATTAATTTTTCTCTCAAATAAAAAACATTATTCATGAAGATTTTGGAGGATTTTAAAAATCTAAACGATATTGTAAATATAACCATTATCTATTCGTGGAGGAATAATGATGAATCACGAGTGTTTATATATTCTTTCACATTTTTTCATACTTGTATGTATGTCTTCTTAGTTCTTGCCTATACAAATACTATATTAGTTTATTTTAATTTTGGACAACAACAAATTAAGTAAAACTTATCCTAGTAATGATAATAAGGAACTCTTATAATAAAAACAAATAATGACTAAAACTTTTTTTTTAAACTTATATAGAATAATAATACAAAACTATATATTTAGTATAGAATATATTGCATATATTAATGGGAACTTTAACGAAAATCTCCTGGTACTGTTCACTTTAACGAAAAACCACAATTTTACACTAAAAAGTCAACCGTGGTACTATTCATTTTACCCTTTATTTTGTCCTTATTGTTAAAACTCAAAGTTTACAAGTCTTTTTCATTAGTTTTCCTTATATTAATATGGCTATTGTATTTTATAATAAATCTTTTAGTAATTAAACTTTAAAATTATCAAAATAAATTTTTTTTAACGGGTCGAAACGGATTACTTGCGTGTATAACGGGTTCTTAACGGGTGACCCGATAATGACCCGATAAGTTATCGTGTTGACCCGAAACCCGTTATTTTCGTGTCGTGTCAGAAACTGCCGGGTCTATGTTTAATATAGGGATCATATTTATCGTCATGCACTACATCAATAAATGTAAGGGGCATATTTGGTACTCTACTTGAATTCAAATTTTTTTTAGACTAAAAAACTGTTTTAAAAAACTGAACTCAAAACTAATTTTAAAAGTAGCATACTTCAAGAAAACAAAAAGTGAGTTTTTAGAGTTTTCAAACTCCAAACCCACTACTTTCTCTCTTCTATCTTGATCTGGTCCTTTCTCTCCTTTCTCTCTCATCTCTTTCTCCCTCCTCCCCTTCGAATCTCTCTCATATTTCTCTCTCATCTCTTTCTCCTTCGACCCTCTCTTAGGATCTCTATGTCTATCCAATTGAATTTAGTATTTCCTGAATTGACATAGAGTTGCTATAGGGTGTTTTACTTTTCTTTTTAAATATTAAAATTTAAAAACACTTTTAAATCTTAGACTAAACAAGTTTTTGGATCTTAAAGAAAAATGTCCTTAAAAGATGTTTTTAAGAAAAGTTTTAAAAAACTGTGATTTTTTTAATACAATACGAAACATACCCTAATTTTCCAAGATATGAAAACTATGTCAAAAAGAGAGGTTCTTTGTCCCCCGGCTTTCACATGATCACTGGTTATACTCAGAATCTTGACATCATAAATATACATTTGGATGAGATATTTGTAATGGAAATACCCAGAAATAGGACAATTCCTTAATCTTAGGACATAAATAGGATATTTCGAATATGCACACGACATGCACAACAATCGGACAGAAATAGGATTTTTCCTACAACTTGAAATGACTTAATTGCCCTCGTATATAAATGGGTAATTCTTCCCATTTTCTGATTTCTATCTTTCTCTCTCTCTCTCCTTACTTCTCTCTCTTTTCTCACTTTCTCCCTCACACTCTCTCCCCTTTTCATTGTGCACATACGGTGCACAGTTGTCCCGACCAACACTGTCTATATCGAAGCTACCACCAATTCCATCTCGTCCTCATGAGTCCAAAACACGTAGCCTTGTCATGAATCTCATCCTCGATCATTAGGATCGAAACTCAAGCAAGTTGCGAGTTTTCCAGCCATTTT